ACAGTACATGCGATGTATGGAAATAATTGAAAAACTATGTACATATTATACGTATATCTATTTTTATATAGCCTTGTGAAATTTAATAATGGCTTGCTAAAAACGAAACCTTGTACACAAAAAAAAAAACTTGAAATGACGCCCCTGTAATACTATAAGTCAGGGTCGACGCAAGGGCAGTGTAACCGGTACACCTGCACAGGGCCCCGTGCAATCAAAGCTCGCTCCAGAAAAACAAATCATTTACGACTAAATATTATAATTTCTAAAAAATAACATTGTTAATAATAATATATTATGTTTTTCAAACTACAGTTGAAATAATAGCTTAGTAATATCTCAGCGAACAGTACTAATGTACCTACTGTATTTTTATAAATACACTGCAGATTATTGACATAATGACATGTTTAAATATAATACATAATTTAACATTTATAATATTATGATTGACAGTATCATTTACTATAAATAATTATGAGTATTTTCGTAGGATCAGTTGTAGAGTGATTAACCAAAAAGAATAAGTAGACCATGTCGATAATATAATTTTGAGATCTCAGTATATCTCACCTCCTCACTTATTTGTGCTCATTTAATTCTTCTAAAATATGTATTATTGTATCCATTTATTTAATTTATTTGAACTAATAAGTAAATAGTATATATTAAATATTAATTGTTGTATATGAATTTGTTTGAATTATTTTGCACGGGGCTCCGCAATTTGTAACGCCAGCCCTGCTATAAGAATGAACTTGAAATAAAAAAATGTACAATATTCTGAAGGGTTATACAATATTATATTATGGTACGCTTTTAACAATTTATTATAATCTGTTTGTTTTCTTCATTATTATCTCTTTTAATGTGTTTAGGTATCCAACTTGTCAACTATATGTTGTTATATGCTATATCTGTTTTATATAGTCATAAATCATAATATAGTATTGGTAATACGTAACTTTTTTAGCATACAAAATTTAGAGATAAAATGGGTGCCCCTCTTCAAAAAAAAAGAACTTTCTAGCCACGACACTGTTACATTGTAAAGAACAAATAAAAAAAGATAATTTATACACATCGCACCACAATATTGTCGTTTGTAGTTTTTTAACAATTACAAATTATAATCGCGGAACACGCACAAAAAGTCCTAATCGTTAAATTCTGTTCAATGACAAAACGTCAAGTAAAATAAACTCTAATAATTACATTCCTAATTGTCTGTATTTTAATTATACCTTCGGCCACGTGTATACTAGCTACTAGCCACTAAGTATATATTTAATACTGCACAACTGATTTACCATTATAGCTTAAACCTAATCGTCCTAGTGTCATACCTTCGATGTAGTGATTTAAAAATAGCCTGTAAATATATTATCACAAGGCGACAAGGCGGAAACTGAAAGTCTGAAAACCAGAAATGACGCGTCACCGACGAATCGGCAGTACAACATCATATTATTATATCAGTACATCACCAAAACAAACAAATAGTATTATTATATAGTCCTTTATTTTTTTTTTATCTTTTTATCATAATATTATGTTTCTTTTTTTTACAAAATGTGTTCAAGGTTCGTTCACGTAAATTTTAACAAACAGCTTTTCCGTACTAATATAACATAATATATACATTATATATTTATATATATATATATATAGAACATAGATAGTGTTAATTAATAGTTTTCGTCGCACAATGTTTTTCCGCATTAATAAAATATTTCAAAATGTTTCGTACGATTATACAATTTTTGTTTTGCACGAGCGCGCCATTAGACCTTATCGTCTTCGATTGTACATATCAAAACAAAATGTCTGATGTAACGTCTAGACACACAACGCGGATATAATATGTAGAAAAAACAGCAATTTATTTTGTTGTAGAAAATAATATAATTCAATAGGCAACTGGAAAAAAAAAATAATACATAATATTACTAGTTTTTTTCCTGCGTACTATCGTGGATAAATATCGGTTTTCAATTCACCGCTGCAACGAATTAACATGCATGATATTTAACATATTATCAACCGTCTTTAACATAATTCTCATCGTGTCAGTCTCATTGAGGAGTTAAGGCGCACCCAATTGAAAAAAAAAAAGTTATAAAATGGAAATCAAAAAAAAAAATAAAAAAAATATCATCATTTTTGTAATTTACTATGCATCTAACAACACTATTATTATTATTATATCATAGTTACAAATATATTAAAGAACTTAACATCACGTGGATATTCATTATCGCGGTCACAGCATCTTGCTGTACCTAAATTTATCATACTCGGTAAACGTTAACGACTGAATCTATACTATCTACATTTAAAATTATAATCGTCTATACTGTCTACATAATATATTATACAATGCGTCACACTAGAATATACACTCAAAAGTAAGTAGTTATATTATAATCGTGATCTACAAAAGTACAAATTTTTATCGCGTATTATACCTTATATTATTATTATCATTATTATTAATAGTAGTAAGTAGTAGTAGTATTATACTTTTAATTTATTATTACTATATAAAACTGAATTGTAGCTAATATCAAAATGTCGTAAAAAAGCGCAACTAAAGAATGTACTTGACTTATTTATATACAATATGTAAAAAATATAATATTATAACAATAAATAGTACGAAAAATTCTAATAACCGTTTATATTCGTTGAACGATGTTTTAGTTTTTAATCCAGAATATTAGTGTTTTACACAAACTACACGGATTGCATACAATGATACACAGTTGAAAGTATGAACGTATTATTTGAGACAATATCAAATGTTTGTAATAAAAACGAATTTTTTTATGTATTTTTTTTTTTTTTTTTTTAATATATTATATTAAAAGAAAAAAATGGCAGTGGCATGTGAGATTTAACAGCACAAGTATACTGAAAAACGGCATAATTGTTTCGAAGGGCAGTGAATTTAGAAATTCTATGCGTGATAAAAAGTCTAAGTTAAAATTAACTTGTTTTATATTTATTTTTAACAGATATAATAAAATTAAACGGTACACTCCAAAGTTGCCAGTACGTGCAAGGTCAAACAAATTATATTTTAAGCATAAACAACAGTGTCATTGGTGCAAAATGCAGTTCACAACGGTAGTAATGAGCTCTTGAAACTTCAATAAGTTTAGTGTTTGACCTTTTGGTACTAGCTACAAATTAAGGCCACTTTTTAAATTTTATTAATCAAATATATTCTGATGAAGTACAATTAGAATTCTTTGTTATTTTATCAAAAATATAATACCGGAGATTTGAAAACAAACGTGAGGCTGTTGTACGACACACACATAATTATTAACATTGGATTCTTATATTTTCTATGGTCAAAATAATATCTTTATGACAATACACATTCTTATATCTATAAAAAAAGAACAAGATCATTTTTCAATGGTATTTAAAAAAAAAAATCCTTTACAAAAAAAAAAAAAAAATATTAAAATTACACTCAATTTCCTAAGAATTAACATTTGCACAAAAGTATTCATAAAAATGTACATAACATTATAAATATATAATTGCATTAAAACTATCAAGTGGCGGTTTTTCTGTGTTGAATGAAATTGTTTTTACTAAGATATCAACTCATAATAAATAGAATGTAAAAAACATCATTTCATCTAAAAATTATATTAACTATTATTTCTTAAAAATATCATAATATCAGGTAGGATTTTCCAAATTGAATAGGTTGGTAAAGAGCTTATTTTTAACAAATTAACTATTGATCTCAATAATCTAATTTCTTCAAGTTTTAAAAATAAATTACGTTACTAAGAAAATATAACAGTGGGTACCTTCAACTAGTAGATAATGTTTTAGAGTGTACTCAAATGTCATTAAAAAAAAAAAAAATCATGACAAATAAGGACATTAGAGGGAGAAATAAAATAGAAGCCAAAAATTATCTGATCTTAAATTCAAAATAAAATTGTGATAAATAACTGTTATCTAGTAAGTAGTAATAATAATTGAAAATAACACCCAGTACACTCTATTTTACAAATATTATAATTATTCCATCTACTTAAAAACAAACAATTACACTTATGACCCAAGAAAAATTGGTATTTTATTTAATATATAAATATAAATATATACCACCAGATAATTCATTTTCTATGAAAATAAAACTATGGACAACATTTAATAAACTTGTTAACTATTGCACTGGTAGGATACATCAATTTGGTTTTTTATGACAATAACAAAAAACAATATAAAAAAATAATATAATAAATGGTTATCAGGATAAAGGAAAATTTATAAGTATCCACTAAAATTTTAATTGTAAAAGCTACCTTTATAGCTATTGAACCATACCAAAAATGTTTTAAATTAATGTTAAATGAAAACAAAAATAATAAATAAAAAGGAAAACGATAACCGGCCTATAAGTTATTGATCATTAAAAAAGAATCAGTAAAGCAATTAGAAGACAATTGGTCTAAAATATTAATAATAATAAAATAATATAAATATCTAAACGTTGATGTTTACAGTCTTCATCTCAATACACACACAAACACACATTAATAATAGCTATTTTAATTTCCTATTTGTAATTTTGTTTTTGTACTTAAAATATATAAAATGTCATCTAATCAAAACTGTTTCTAATATTTTGTAATTAAATACACTTGCAATAAAATACTTTCCATTAACAGAATTGCTTATTTAGGTTTTGAAAGCATAACAATAATAAGTAATAAAAGTAATAAAAAAATAATATCATAATTATGTACATAAAAGAGTGCCACATTTACCTAAAGCCCTGAACCTATGTTTGTACACGTTTACATCAAACGTCCTATGGTTATTAACTAATATATGTTAGTATACACAATATATTTTTTATCATATACAATTTATTATAAACTAATATCACAGTTTCGCGAATAGAAATGATGTTTCTTACATTTCATATAAAAAAAATAAAATATATTTATATAAATTTGTTATAATAAAATTAATTGGCTTATTGATAAACATATATATTTATATATATAATTTTAAAAAGAAAAAAATCCAACACGCAGGTACAAAACATACAGTCTCAAAAACCACACGAGGATAACAGAGAAACAATATAGCACCCTCATAGTTAAAAATTCTTAGTTAAAAACAAATTCTGTTTTACAGTACTATGTCTTAATTTAGGAGTGAATTCAAACATACTTATACAAAATCTAAGAGTGCTAACATTTTCCTATACACCTTGTGTTTAAAAACAACTCCTAATTTACCTACAGTTTCAAACTTTAAATATTTAGCTATTTTTAAGTGAATTTAAGACAACACATAAACTAATATTATTACCTGACATGTTAGATAGATAGTTAATTTCAATATGTCATTTTTATTAAAATTAGTAAATTGTATTTTAAATAGTCATCCAAGAAGTAAAACAAATAGTCAAATTGATGTTCAGAGCTATACATATTAGCTAAGTGGTTATCATCAGAGGTCTGAACTAACAAAAAATATTGACAGTCTTCAAAATAATACCAAGTAAACACTAATGGTGTGACCAGGTACAAGGTAACTAGCTGAAGTAATTTACTATGGCATGACATCCCATATTTCGGCCAAGAATGGGGGTACTACTCGGTTTTTCAGTTTCAGTGTCATACATAGCTCAGAGTTTTCATTGCCCAATGTGCGCAACTCGGTAAGTACCGAGAGAAGTCGGGCATATCTGACAGTTGCTGTGTCGCGGTCGCGATTATCTACGTAAGCTTTTAAAGACTCTAAGTAGATCTCTTGAATTTTTTCCACTTTCCAACCATCTAGTAAATTTGGCCTACCTAAAAATGTATTGAAAAAAAAAAATTAATTACAAAACATTGAAAATATTATTATAGTATATTATTCATAAATGAGTAAAATAAATAGTATAATTACTTGAAAATATGACAATGGCAGTCAATAAAGCATATTCTGCATTATCCACCTTCATGTTGTACATAAACCGACTGAATGACAGTTGGTTTTCAATTCCATCTCCCAACCCAGCTTTATTATAAGAATCTGCTGAAAATGGCTGGTTGTTAGCAAACACTATTGAGTCAGTGGTGATGTCATATTTCCTAGCTACCCTGAACATCATAGCTTCACTTGAGCAAGCCTATTTTTACAGAATAAATTAATAACATGTGAACAATCATACAAACATAACTAATTAATTATTTCAAGTAATTACCTTGAGTAAGGTGATCTGATCTTCTCTTACAAGTTTATCGAAACCTGGTAATCGTTTGGCAAACTCGACAATCAGTTGAACTGTGAGTATTGTCATCTCAGTGATGATTTGATATGTTGTGTCGCTTTGTTTCTCTTCATCGAATTCATCAATATTTTGCTATAAAAATCAATTAATTACAATTAATAAAATGGATATGCGTTTTTTTTTTTTAATTCAAATACGTACATTATTTGTTGTTAAACGTTTCAAGTCTTTTTCGCTGGGAGCTTCATATTGATCCTGGAAATAGACGAGTCGGTGAATTAGTTCCTTTTGTTCAGAACTCAACGGTTTTACGTAAGGTACAGTCGGCATAGGTGTGCCTATTACCATTGGTTCGCCGCATTCAATCTAAGAGAAAAACATTCATTAATTATAATATCATAGATACAAATGCGAAATTATTTTCTAGAGGTTATTACGATTTTAATTACCTTCATCTCTGTAGGTTCTATTTTTATGATTTCAGGAGAAATATCTGTAGTAGAATTTGGTTTATCTTTTTCTCGTTGAGCTTTTTTCTCCTTTCTTTTTACGGCGCATTGAACTTCTGGTACAACACCTAAAAACCAAACGTCATATTGAAAAACAATACATATATATCTTAATTATTTGATATCATTCTAAAATAGGCGTCTAACTAAACAAATGTTCGTAGGTCAAAAAAACATGTTATGGCACACCAAAATTTAAACAATTAAAATTTCATGTCTATAAATATACATTTTAATAGAATATTAATGACCTATTACATTTATTCGATGCGCAATTTATGAATATTATACGTTAATATTAAATTGGGACTATGATGGGGAAATATTGTAACTTTAAAAGATTTATTTGATAAATATTTATATAAATACCAAATTGCCTATTAAAATAATGGACTTCACTCGGAAGCATAACGTTTAATTAATGATTATTATTATAACGTGCAAACGCTTTAAAATATACTCATTACACTATCTATTATAATCATTAAAAAAAAAACTATAAAAACAACATTAATTACAATTGAATGAGTAAAAAAGTACCTATATTATAACTGCACCTAATGAAACAGATTTTATTATAGAAAATTTAATTTTAAGATATAATTTTTGAGCAGTGAAACACAATAAAATAATACCTAAACATAAACATTGTTATACGGCGTATGATAAATGTTGATGTGTTAGATATCTGCTGAACGTGTCAACGAAATTAATCGATGTAAATTCTTTAAAATTTTGAGAAAAAGCTAATAAAATATTATTTCTCAAACGTTAGAAGTGTTTTGAAATAACCCATTAATCGAAAAAACAATGATTTTATTAAATACTTGTTTATTATAAAATATGTATACTATACAAAACGATTGCATATAATCATTATTAATTCTTGAAAGGCGTACAAGAAAACCAGGAAAAGACAATAATAACTCCAGTGATCGTTTCGTAATAAAAATAACATTTTCGTATAAAAATATGACTTTGAAGGTCACAAAGTCTATAATGATGAGTTCACTATAATGGCACATTACACGGCGGCTGATGAGTGTTTGTGCATGTGCGGCCTCCGAAAAAACGAAAAATAAATATAAGAATACAAAGAAACGCCAGACGAGTGTAGAGCAATTATTTAGTACCGATGTCGAGGCACGATAAAACGTACGAATTGAGTGCACGCTAGGCAGTATGGTAATACAAACAGCGATCTACTTAACGTGTTTTGCCTTTGAAATTCATTTATTATTCAAGAAACAATAATTCTAGACCCACCATAATTTAGTATGCGGTGCGAAATTCGCGAGTAAAAATTCGCGGTTACTCGATCGATATCAATGTAATAAAACATAGTATAAAACAGCGTAAAAAGGTCAATGTACCTTAAAAAAAAAAAAAAAGCTCACCATAGTACTGTAACTACCACAACCGGTCAAGGTTCCTTTCAAGACTACTTATTATTTATATCGAGGGGGTGGGGATTTGGGAAAGTTCGATTTTCTGTCATCGTTTACCGTGTAAATATTCAAATTCTTGTTGTCGAGTATACGTTCCGACTGTACACAAGGAAACTTCACAACATAATATTTTGTGCAGTAGCCGTATAGTTAATATTATTTTGTCGACGGTAAATTATATGAATATTTGTGCGATAATAGCGGTAATCTCTGTGTTTAATAAGGTTAGAACTGAACTCTCTCAGACATTTTTCTTGGCACCACACAATCCATAGTTGTCGAACGATAAGCCAAACAAATTGACGATATAAGTTAATCGAATAGTTATCACCAGGATCCTTATTTATAGAACCGCAAAAAAAAAAAAAAAACTCTAAATTAACCACTTTGTTGCGGACGTTTCGATAACTGTAAGATAATATACCAACCTATTTTAATACAACCTTCAATTTGGTATCATAAAATTTGAAAAATTTAAAAAAAAATGTACATACATAATTTCATAATTTGGACGACTATGCATGTATACGATTTGTGTAACATATTCTTATTTTCCGTAATTTCATAAAAACAATAGAAACAATAGATAAAAATTATAAAAAATTCTTAAAATACAATCATGTGTTCAATTTTCAACCCATGTGCTACTGAAAGCTTATTAATTTTTCAACTAAAATATTCTAAAAAGTATATTCCAAAAATAAATCACTAATCATATAATATTGTAAGACTATTCAATATTACTTTTTTCTTAGACCCGCTTAAAATATAAAAATTGTTTTATATTTAAAGTTAAGATTTATAAATATATTTATTAATTATCTCTTTAAACTGATCGTGACTATACAATACTATGCAATATGTATACTGTATATAAGTGTTTTCACGAATGTATGAAACATATTCAAGTTAAATGTCCGTGACTCCGAGTTATTATGAGTTATGTTATGTTATGGTTAGTTGACTGTGAAGTTGTACTATACCTATTCATACCATATTTAAAGAAACAATGTACTTGATTGTATGGCCATTAATTACGTAGCAATTAATAATAATACATTTTATTAAATAACCATTCGTAAAATTATTAGATTCAGGGCTTATTTTAAGTATTTATTTTAGGCTGAATAATTCAACACGCCCCCGCCCAAACATTCTTAACATATTTTTCAAACACATTACATAACTAAAAACAAACTCAATGGCCATCGATAAAGAAGTTATATATTTTTAGTGTTATTATTCGTTTTTTGTTTTGAAAATTTTTTGTATATCATTGATTCTAGTAAAAAATAATATACATAATTATCTAAAAATTTTACGAGAAATCAAAAAAATTAAATATAATTTAACGTTTTTTGAGTAAACCTATTTCTACATGATCAACGTAAAATTATCATTTTGGTGTTTTAAATATCATAATTTTAATAATGTAAAAGAATCACACAATAATAAATTTCACGAGATAAAAAAATTTAATTTTGAGCGACACATTTGATGAGTATGATACTAGATTAAATTTATTACAAATATTAAGAAAAAAATCTAAAATAAAATCCAAATAAGAGGCAGCGGGATCCTAGTAAATAAGCAACTAATAAACACCAGCTTTCTTACTATTATTGATACGATATATTGATTATGGTCTTGCGTCGAATATTTAGTATTTTTGTTTATAATTTTATATTTTTATAGTTATTATGTTTAAAACACAACTTACAGGTTGAACTCTATAATTCTGTAATATTATTCAATTATTTAAAAAAAAGAGAAGTTTTAATTCGTAAACATACAACTTAATTTCTTAATTTTAACTAAGAGCTGGGTGTTTGAATTTGTCATCTATTCTAACCCATGTACAACATAGAAAATTTGTGTTCAGCAGAACCCGAACTTGTGTTAGCTTCAGTATTAAAGTGAATTGATCTTTTATCAAACTTAAATTTAAGAACATTCTGTGTTTTTACGATGGTTTTTTATGATATTTCAATTTTCAAGCGAGATATGAATATTTTTAAATTGTTCTTAAATACACGAGTGATGTAACACTTACATTCGGGCCTCATGCCGACAGTTAGACATTTTTTCAGCCGACACTCCTGGCACTTCCGCCTCATGTACATATCGATTTCGCAGTTGTTGCCGTACTTGCATTGGTACACGGCGTTCTTGGTGATACTTCTCCGGAAGAACCCCTTGCATCCCTCACATGTGAGAGCGTTGTAATGGTAACCGGACGATCGGTCACCGCACACCAGGCAAAGTTCTTCAGGAGGTCGGTTATTCAGCACATTACCACCCACGCCAACGCTGCCACCACCACCGGGGCCCGATGCCGCGGTGTTAACGGTTCCAGTTGAGGGCGCATGGTTGAGTTTCTTCTTCTTCAAACCATCCGAGTGGCTGCTAACTCCCGACAGGCTATTCGGCGGAGACAACTCCTCTTTGACTGCACATGGAAAAAAAAAGAAACAACGGTTAAACAAAAACGAAAAAATCATTACATACTATTATAATATTATTTATAATAATGTATAACACTTAAGTATAGTACCTATATAATATAATATTATGTTTTACTTTCGTCTTGGGCGAGTGGTGTGAAGGGGCCAGGGTGTGGGAGAAGAGGAAGTAAACAGAACCCGAAAACCTGTTTGCAGGTAACGACCGACACCGTCGCGGAGTGGACGAACCCAGTGACCTTGTGATCGAGAATGAATATATCTATGTTATTATACACAAATCTTTTCCCTCCAAAAGTCTTTCCAGATAACACATACATATGTATATATATACTTATTTGTGGTATACAATATAATAACATAATAATACCATGTGCGGCATTGCGTCACGCGGGGTTAATGCCCCTCGAATCGGATAGTATCGTGTCGTTGTAATTATTTTGTCGCTGCGCAGTGCGTTCTCGAGCGGTGTCCATCATATATTATTATTTATTGTAATGACGAATGCGACAGAATCGACGCGGGCCCGAGTAACCCGCAGGAGAGTACCGCTGCGACGAGGGAGGTCTCGTTTACGCAGGCTTCGAATATAAGTCGCCTACTGTATTATATAATGTTATGCGGGCAACGCTGTTACTCAGCGGTAAATACCGTTTAAAAAAGCACCACAACTAAACGTTAAGCAGATGTCTCGGGATACCTGTGGACAATCTTGGGAAGTATTCAGATACAATATGTACTTAAATAAACTTTTCAGGCATTTAAAATATTTTTTGATAGACGAATTTTAAATACTCTAAAAACGCTTTGTACTCAAAATATTTCAGTGATAATATAATATTTTCGCATTTTGTTATTTTAAATTTTGTTTATAAAAGATATTTTATAATGGTTCAAAGAATTTGCAATAAGCTTCAAACAAATAGTTAGAATAGTTAAAACGTATCCATATCATACACTTGATTGAAGTTAACTTGACGTGGTTAATGAAAAAATCAAATTATTACATGGTTTCAAGAATTCTTGAATCTTTTAAAGCATTTTTGTGTTAACTATTTAATTTATATGAATAAATAAATTAAAGTATCTATTTTTCACTAATTTAAAAATGTATTAAGCTAAACAAAAAAAGTATTTTAAACTATGTAATTGTATTCAAATACTATCGAAAAAAAAGTGTTCCGATATGTATTTCAAGTACAAAAAGTTGTAGATACCAACTATTTAAATGCGTTTTCTGAATGCATTCGATATTCTTTACAAGAGTGCATTTATTTGTATATTATTTGTTTATAATTATTGACTGACGAATTTATCAGCCAAAGAAGATACGGAGTGCTGAAAATTTTAAGAATACTATTTTCTTAACACACCTTTTTCATACAACAAACGGTCATAAGTCATAACTCATTAGATTTCATGTTAAAAATAAGATATTTGAGTTGTATTTACAAAAAATTGTTTAATTCTATCGTAATCCCTAAAATTTAACTCTTACACAATGTAGTGTGTATATATACATTGTATTTACGTTTGACGCTTACGTCATTGTATAACCATTTTTCTCATTCGACGAAAATCTGAAAACCGAAGCGCTTACGACTATACAAGGCAACGACGTCAAAAGCGACCGGATAAGTAAATAATAATAATAATTTATAATAGACTAGTTTTTTTTTATTGTTATTCCAAAGAAAAATCGCTCGACGACGACGACGTTCAAGGCCGTCCACGTTTTGCAATAGCCGCCGACACGACGGACACACTCTCACAATAGTAATAACATATTATATGTATAGAAATAGATATCGCGCGCGCACACACATACACACACACTAGGTTTTAGCTTTATTGTTGTATAGTTTGTGGGGAAAAATATATATAAATCCCAAGAGATTAATTGCTTTCGTGTGCGCGTTGTTTTTAAACGTCTGGCGAGATGCGCATTTTTTTCTTCCCCCCACGACCTAGCCCAACAGAAATTCTCGAGAGACCTCGCACACGACACACACACGCACATTTACATAAAAATAAACAAAACGAAGAATGCATTCCGATGATAAATCTATCGTTCCAAGTCGCATGTCGTATGGATAATACGCGTGTGTGGACTCAAAACAAAATAATACGAGAAACGACCACACTGGTGTCGGAGACGCGCTAAACAGCAAACATAAAATTTATATAAAATTCGCGTGTACCTACTCACAAATTTCGTTCACGGGTTTTGCGCACCGGACGTACGTACGTACCATACTGCAACAGATGTTAATTATTCGACGTTAAATCAAATGAATATTCATCGAACGCAGCTCTCCGTACACCAATGCTCCGGCGGCACTAATTACCGGAACCGCTGCTGCACGTACCGTGACAGCAGCGACGGCGGCGGCAGCGTCATCGTCACAGCGTACGCCAAATTTTGGTTTTACGACTGGCGTAAACGACGCTCAAAATTTCTGCAACTCGGCCCGACCACGACTGCGGGGGGATACAACAATTTTTGTAGACCGGTTTATCGAATGTAAATCTCTCTCGTTCTCTCTCTGTATGCACATATTATTATACCTTCTTTTTTTTTTTTTTATTGTAATACTTAAAACGTGTACACGCACAATCGATAATAATGATAAAATAATACGGCATCGTCGGCGGCCTATTGTATTAAAAAAAATTAAATCGATCTCGAACGCCGCGGGAATGAAACGCTATTATTTCGTATCATATTGTGTGTGTGTGTATGTATGTAATGTGTCTCCTGAGTAAGCGCGCGCGATGTAACAGTCGTATAGGTAATAATAATAATAATAATATGTGCCCGGTGAAGGCGTGCAGTGACGAAGAAGAAGAATTCGAGGAACTGAAACCGGTTAACGACGACGACGACGACGACGGTGATCGTGCGTTGTGTGTGCAAGCTAAGAATGAAAAGCTGTAAGTATTAATGCGCTTGATGTTTGATAAAAAATAAAATGAAATAAAAAAAAAAAAAAAACGTTTTTACGTGATCGATAGTGCTCTTATGAGACCGAGGAAAGTGAGGGAAAGAAGAAATCATAGAAGTCGTCATCGTCGTCGTTATAACCGATAGGAAACGTCAACAAAAGCGGAGGAAAAAAAACGAAAGCTTTTGACGTAAATTCGACTCGCAGTTACGTGCTAGTGTTTTGCATTTTAACGTATGCATGACATTGACGACGGAAACGGTTGTGCGCACATTACATTATTCGTTCACCGAGTAATCTGTGCGGTCGGCGAGCGGAACAGACGTCAGCGTATGAAGTGAGTAAAAACACAGACTCGCAGCCCGTGAAGGCCGTAGAATCAGAAAACCGCGAAGATCTGCGGTCTAGATAACAACCAGAACGAAAGACAAAAATGGAAAACGAGATTAGTTTTTTTTTTTTTTTCATATCATTGTTGTTATTACATAGTATTCCGTCATGATAATTTTTTTTTCTCAGTAGGTATATTATTATCGGCAGTAAGAGCGCGTAATACATTTACAATATTATGTTTTAACAATATACCTAATAATATTTTGGTATAATCGTGGAGGGTAATCGATCTAAAAATAAAAAATACAATTTATTCAATTCGTAAAATTAAAATTTTAAAATATAAATTATTTATTAATCAGATAATATAGACAATATTTAATTTTTTGAATTGGATTAATTTATATTTTTTTTAACTATTTATCCGACTAGAAAAACATTCCAAGACTTCTCGACAGTAAAAAAAAATGAGTCCGGACTTTAGTCTAGAATTTACAGAGAAATAGAGTAAAAATAATGGCCAGAACTTTTAAAATAATGCGTTTTCTTAATATAGTTACGTAACAGTGGAGGTATACTGACAATTAATGAAAGACAGTGGAAGTTTTAATCGTCAAAATAAAAATAATTGACTACGCTAAGATATTGTGGAGGGAACACGAAAGGTAGTAGACCGCATGTTTTAGAATTGTACACACATAGGTAAACACACACTGTGACTGAACTTTATGGGAGACATCTACGTTCACCATGAAAAGAATGAAAAAAAATATCTTAATCGTTATAATTATTGTAGTCTATGAGTATGTAAGTATATTTGCTCAGTTGGACGACAGTGATAATAATATCCATTTAATGTGGTGCACACGCGTTACTAAGCCACGTGCATTGGCAGAACAAAACGACGACTAAGGTTCATTCCTACTGCCACGGTCAAGTGAACAACAATTATTGTTGTTGTTGTTGTTGTTGTTGTTGTTGTTGTTGTTGTTGTAATTGTTGTAGTTGCTACTGCTGTTGATGATGTCAGATTTCTGGTGAGAATCTTCCGTAACGTAAAAAAATTTCCGAATGTGAATAATATATTATTCGCAATAATGAGCAAAGAAATAATTAACGTGAAGGTAGAATCGGTGGAGCGGGTAAGAACAATGCGCACGTAAACGTAAATGTACCAAACACAATGTACTAAAGCAATTATAAACTTTACCTCTTTATACAAACTGGATAATAAACACATAATATTATATAATTATTTCGGTTTTAGATTTAAAAAAGCACCGTGCTATACACACGCGTACCGATATATAGTATTAAATAATATAAAATGTCATTTTAATTAGATAATTAATTTAATTAACGTTTGGATCAGTAGGTTTTCGAAAAATAATTTTAACTTTTACGCCAATAATGACTAATGATGACGGCATTCGCACGGGTCGAATTCGCCGTCGATTTTTTTTTCAGTTTTTATTATAACTACTATTATTCTACATATTATTATCAACCGAATACGCATGACTGATATCATTTATCGATTCTAATATATGTGGTGTAAACAATTGATATGAATTTTTAAGTACTTTAACGGCATTTATTCATTATTTTTCGCGAGTACAAGGTTGAACAAAATTAATATTCAAATTTTAACTCTCTTATTAAGTCATATTAAACAGTGTATCAACATAAAATGTGTATGCAGACTCGGG